GGGCATACAAACTAATATGTAATTACAGAAGGCAGAGCAGTGATTACCTGTGGACATGGAGAAGGAGTGGGAGGGAGGAATTACAAAGGACCCTAAGAACCTTTAGGAGTGATGGCTATGTTCTTTTTCTTGATTATGTTAGTTGTTTCATGGGTGTATACATATATCAAAACTTAACAAATTGTATACTTCAGTTACGTGCAGCTTATTGTGTATCAATTATATCTTAAAAGATATATTTAAAAAAAAAAAAACTGCAGTGAGAGACCACTACACTGCCACCAGAATAGCCAAAATTTAAAAGACTGGCAATGCCAAATACTGCCAATGATGTGAAGTGACTGGAATTCTCCTACCTCATAAGTAGCAATTGGAAATTGTGCAACTACTTTGAAAAGAGTTATGAAAATCTCTTATAAACTAAATATATACCTTATCTGTGACACATCAGTGCCACTGCTAAGTATTTACCTAAATGAGCTGAAAACATGTGCCAAAAAAGACTTCTATAAGAATGTTCGTAGCAGCTTTAGTCCTAGCAACCCAAAAACTGGACACATCCAAGGTGCTGTCCGTCAGTAGGATTACAAATAATTAAGCTCTCGCATGTTCTCGTAATGGAGTGTTTCTTGGCAGTGAAAGAGAACACACTACTGATATACAGAACCACACACAAGAATCTTAAAAACATTAAGCTGAGTGAAAGAGTCCTTACATAAAAATTGATTGTATGCTGTATGATTCCATTTATATGAAATTCTAGAGCAGACAAAACTAATCCATGGTAGAAAAAAACCAAAACCTCATTTGCCTCCATGGAGAGGGCCATAAGGGAAGAGGAGCATGAGAGAACTTTCTGGGGTGATGAAATGTTTTGTATCTGAGTAGGATTTATATATATATATATATATTATGTATTTGCCTAAACAGTAAAGTACACTTAAAATCTGTGCTCTTCATCAAATATAAATTTTATAGCAAAGAAACTGAACAAACTTTGAACTCTCGTTAGAGATAATGAATGCTGTAGTTGGGGACAGCTTTCTGATGTCTGCAGTTTACTTGGAAATGCAGCAAAAAAAGTAAGATAGATCAACAGATGAATAGAGGGATGGGTAGATATGTGTTAAAACATAAGGAAAATGTGAATGAGTGGTGGCTAATACTGGTGTTTTAACTTTAGCGAATATTTGAACATTTTCGTAATTTTCTTTACTTCTGTTACAAATTCAGATTTACCAGAATAGTGTTCCTTTGTACTAAACTTATAAAACTATGTGGCCACTCTTTGCTAAGATATGACTAATCCCTCCTCCCCCACAGTAGAGAGTCTATAAATAGCTATCCTGCCTGAGACATTGATGGAAACACATTACCAGAAATTTCAGTGTTAGAGCCACCAGCCTTGGCTGCCACACATTGGAATTGCTTCAAATAGGAGTCAGTGGCAGGCTGGGCAGAGGCTGAAGACCAGATATATAAAGTGAAAAGCATTATGTTACCTCTTGATAACATTTTGCAATGGGGAAAATGAGGGAGGATTGAGAGAATAAGACCCATGTGTAATGAAATCCACCCATTATTTTATACTAAGTCAAAAACTCTAAATGGGGTGTTTATAATTATAAGATAATGAGATGAAATCAAGGGATAATAAAACAATCGAATCACACTGTTCTGATTTCAGTACTCCTCAGATCTTTTCCAGGACACTCCACCCAAAGTGGTAATAAATTGACTGCTCATATAAAGCACTACTCTTTTTTCTTCTTTGAAGTTTACTAATACAAGGCAAACTAACTATTTAAACCCACTCTTGATTCTGGCTCCAGTAGATTATTTTAGTACACACATGTACTAAAGTCTTTTATAGTCTTTTCCTAGTTTATATTATTTTGTGATCCTATGCTCTTGGCTTTGCGTTTGTGAGTAATTGGGTGAAAGAATTTCCAGCATTCACAAAACATCACAACAGTCCTTTTTCAAATTTTAAATTTTCATCGGTTCGTTAAAATAGGAGGCAATAAGTAACATAAGTTTATGTAAATGCGTATTTATGACATAAATTATTGAAAATTAAAAGCTAAGTTATAGAAAAATAAAATTTTAAGAAGCAAAGACAGTGCTCTTGAGTGTCCCTGAACAGAAAACTGGGTTTTTCCTTCTGTCTACTTTGAGTAATTTTCTCTTGCCAATACCTGGAGGATGTGAAGGAGGTAATGACAGAAAATGGGACAGAGAAATCTTTTTCTCTTTCGCAGATTGTATGCCTGAGGTCACTGCCTAGTCTCCCCAACCCAACCTTCTCTTTGAGTTTACCACCGCCACCCCACTATGTCGTTTGGTGTGGCATATACAGGATTCTTGGCCTAGAACTATACAATTAAGAGGGACCTTAAAGATCATGTTAAGTCTAAGTTGCTCATTTTATAGAGGAAGAACCTGAGGTGCAGATTGAAGTACAATGTATTTTTATTGTAGAATGAAGAAATATTAAACCACCCCTAAAGAGTATTAAAATAGTACACCCAGAAACTCTCACCCCCGCCCAAATTGTTAATTCTTCCAACACCTTAAATTCCTTACTTTTTTTGTTGTTAATTACACACTGCATATGGTATTGTATAAGACATTCCCCGCATTGGGGAATTTACAGTCTATTTAGAGAATCAGATAATACAATACAGAATACTAATTATGCCATAGCATGAGTAAACGAAGTGTTTGTTGGAACATTTAGAAGTTCCTTTCCAGTTTTGGGTGGAAGTGTGGTCAAAGAAATCCTCCTAACTGGGGTGAATTTTGATCTGAGCTCTGAAGAACAATTGCCAGGCATACAAAAGCAGCATGTAAAAAGCTTCTGAGGCAAGAGAACAAAAGTACAAGAGTTTTCTGCTTAGGCCCTTACAGTTCTGTATTTTTCCCATGCAGCAGGCAGGGGCTCCTTGCATATATAGGTATTCACCTGTTTCTGTGGGCCATTCATTGCATTTAGTACATTTTGCCTTAGGTAGTTGTTATGCTTTTGCTTATAATCTAGCTCCTCTACTAAAACCCAAGCCCCCTTTAGAGGAATAGCTCTATCACTGTTACCCTGTATCACCGACAGCTCAGTGCTTAGTACACAGATGATCAATAGATGTTTAATTCCTTGCACACATGTTTAATCTCTTAACACAGCCATCAGGTGCTTCTCTGTTTGGACTTTACAATCTTCCTATTTCCTTAAGCTCTTTCTGGAATCTGTAAAATGTCTGTGATCTCTCCATAGCTCTTACTGGTTTATTAGCTACTTCTGTGGCTAATTGTAGTTAGAGCTCCTAATCTGAAAGTGTCACTACTCTAGTTTGCAGAAAATGAGGTATATAACTTTGTGTGCTTTAAAGAAACTGATGTCAGAAACTGATTTGGGGTATGTAAATAAGTGACTGTTTAATTTGATTTAAATTAACCCACCTGGTTCTAGCAAGGCCAGGTGCCTCCCCTCTCCTCCATCACCCCCCTCCAAATAAACTTGATAAGATGGGAGGGGAGAGGGTTCAGAGGGTAATGTTAATATTTGAGACCTTATGCCAGTCATTGGTAGTATAGCCAAAATAGAATAGTGACTCAGGCTGTAAAAATCATTGTAGAATAAGTTCTATCTTTATTTACTCATTCTTTATCAAATACTTTGAGAATGATGGTTCCATCTGTATCTTATAAAACTTTAGACTATTATTCTATGATTGTCTGCCAAGTCCTAGGGAAATGATAGAAATGGACATAAAAAACTAAAATACTAGGAATTTACAAAATACTAGGAAGGAATAAGTGCTCTAAATGCAATGGAAATTTCAGGTATTATGAATTCAATAGAAGAGATAATCTGGAGCTGTAAGGGAGAAATAATGAAGGAAGTGAGTCTCTACCAAGTGCAGACTTGGACAAGATCCTGATAAGGTAGTGCAGTGTTGTCTCTGTTCTTTCATGCCTATTCTCATAAGGAGGTACGAAGAAAGTTTGTCTTATTAGGGGCATGAAATATGTGAAAGGTTTGAACAGCCCCTGGAAAATGTGGTAAGATTGACATCAGCGGCAGATGCCCAGAGTGTTGTGTGTGTATAACATACCCAGCTGTACATTCGTAGTGCACTGTCCCAGTGCCCATGTTCATGTGCACATGTTTCCTTCGGTAAATGAAATGGGGATAGCAACAATATTGTATCTACCTCATAGAACCATTGTGTAAGCCATTGGTAAACATGACTAATTAAGACTGGCATTTAGATAGATGGACAATAATTTGTGAGTTCTAGTTGTTGCCTAGTTTATGTCAGTATTGTTTGCTATTAAGAATTTTTTTTCTTTTTTTGGAGCCAACAAATTTCACAGACTGGCTTTTATAGAGGGATTGCATGTTCAAAGTGAAATGAGCAAAGGTGGCTCCACAGCCACAGAAGATTTGCTTTGATTGATTAAGAAAGAGACCACATGCCAAATGTCAGCTGAAAAATAAATGTATCAAATATTGGCAAACTTTTCAGTCTCACTTGAAAAAATGAAAAGAGCTTGTGAATTTGGAGATGTTAACCATTTTCAGAGTAGCAATGAATCAATTATTCTACCAAGTAATGCCGGGGATTTTGCCCACAATCCACAGTAAGAAGCATCTGTTGCATGACAACATACTACACACATAGGAGTATAGAGACACCTAAACAGAAGCAAAAGCTTCCTGAAACACTTTGTTCACCCTTACTGCCTTCCCCAGTAATTGTTACTGTAGTGTTGTTCCTTTTTATTGTTGTTTTTATTGCTGTTCATAATCAATTAAACTGATTGCATAATTCACTGATGAACTACAACCCATACTTTGAAAAACATTACTTATTACAAGCTTTTTCTGACATGCTTTCAATTTTGAAACATAGTTTCTACCTAGTATAAATCTTCAAAACCCATGTTTGTATTTCTAACTTTGGCCACTGGCTTAAATTGTTTTCTCTTCTCTTAATCAGGTATCAACATGGTTTTTTACCACCTTTTCTGTCTCAGGACTGAAGGACAAAATCCACCATGTGGACAGCCTCCACCAGCTATTCTCTGCCATATCACCAGAACAGATTGACTTTCCTCCTTTTGTCCTTGAATATGATGCCAGGGTAAGAAGTACCAGGAGTTCTCCCTCACCTGGTGCAGTATCTTAGCTTTTCTGTAGGGCACTGCTGACGGGCACAACATCCTTTGATTAGAAGAGGATATGAATGCCATTAGCATGTTCTAGTAAACTTGCTAGTATCATTTAACGTTCTTTTCCTACAGTAACTAGGAAAACACTTTGTCCTAGGAGAGGACTTTTTCCCCAGTAAATTTTTCAATAGGATATTTTCCTACTGTTGGTTTGAAGCCAATCCTTGCTTATATTGTCCATTTTCTACCACCTCTGCCTAATTTTCTTAAGATTGATTAACTTTTTATCTACGCAAGTAGAGTCAGAAGAATCTGTTGGTGTGTGACATTTTTCAGTATTAATTCAAAACAGTAGGCTATCTTAGTAGCCTTTACCCTACTAAAGGTTTCATTTTGCCAAAAGTTTATATAATGTTTTTAAGAGTATCAACCAGTAATATTATTATAATTACTTATAGATGCATTTATGAATATATTACTTAAACGCTGATAAAGGGCTACTCTTGAATTTTATCAAAACTCCATCCCATTGTGTTTATTCGTGCTTTAGTAGTTCAAAAAAAAAACAAAAAACAAAAGTAAGTAACATACCTGGCCAAAAGATCATCAGTCTCCTTATTTAACTGTTGCTGATTACATATCTTTATGCATGAGTCAGGGAACATATTTGAAGCTTATATTCAGTTTGAAATGAATTATTTTTCCCTAATTATTTACAGCATGTATACACTAAAATAAATATTCTGCAAGACATTTTCTCTCTACCATTTCTTTAACTTCAGCTATAATTTCTGTTTCCCTTTATGTGAAGAGCAGAATATTTAATGTGTTCTAATGGCTAATAAAATTTCATGCTTGGCTTTGGAACAAAGAGGATTTGTAATTGAAGCGGCTGGGTCATAGATACAAAGATTATTGAATGGGGGGGAAGAACATCAGTTTGTGTTTATTGTAGATTGCTGGAGTAGAAAATGGCCTTATTGTTATTCTTTTGAAGTATACATCTCTCTTCTTAATAATTAAAAAAATGGGTAGCAGGAAATGAAAGACACTAAAAGATATTTTGTGACCAAAAATTCAAAATGACAATTCAAAACAAGTATCTGGATTTATAATTTATTTTCTAGGGTATAATATACAGGATGGATTGCATTGATTAGAAAACCCAAATGCCTGTTTTTTAAGCCAACACATTTTCTATATACTTAAGGGCCTATAAAGCCAACTTCCATTAAGTTTCAACACCACACTCAAACTTTGTTTTGTTTGTTTGCTTCTTTTAGGTTTTTCTTATATTTTTCTTATATTTTATATATCAAATGATGTGCTTAATCAAAATTTAATAAAATAACCTATAATCTCAGAGTGCCTGGGTAGTTCAGTCAGTTAAGCCTCTGAGTGGGGCTTAGTTCATGATGTCAGAGTCTTGGGATCCAGCCATGCGTTGGGCTTTCTGCTCAACAGGGACCCTGCTTCTCCCTCTCCCTCTTCCCCTCCCCTCACTTGTGCACACGTGCTCTGTCTCTTTCTAATAAATAAATAAAATCTTTATTTTAAAAAAACCTGTAATCTAACTCTTGGGTGATTGGATCATCTCTCTGTGCCTGTACTAGAGCTCTCTAAAATTGAGATATTAGGCCGTCTGTATATAAAGGCCAAAGAGAGATATAAAAACAGGGAAGAAACAAAAGAAGGTGTTAGGAGATGATGTGGGAAGGCCCAGTAGAGGGCAGGTCACTGGATACTAGAGCTTTACATGTTACTTGTAGCACTTTGGCTTTGTGGTCTGGGGAGTATTCTGCAAGGGAGACCTACCGTTAGATTTCTGTTTAGAATGATGGCAAAAGAAACAGCATAGAAAGTAACTAGGGAGGTTAACACTTTGGGCAGGTAGACAAATAAGAGGCTATCAGAAGGCCAGAGGAGAAATGAGACCAGAGCTAGGGCAGCAATAGTGATAATGGCAATGACTTGAAGATCTTAGATTTAGAAGTAGACATTTTAGGAAATAAAATCCACAGCATCTGATGACTGAGTAAATCATTAGGAGAGATGAAAGAGGAAGGATGCCTAAGGTGACTGCAGTTTCTGCTGTAGGAGACTTGGTGGACGTTATTGCTGCCATGCCAGAGAGGCAGTTTGAAAGAATAGCACTGGGGTGAGGGTGTTGAGGAAGTGAGAGAGAAGAGACAGGTGGAATCTTCAGTTTGTGACACACTAGGATTGAGGTGGAGATCCAGTAAGTGGTTAGATAATATCTTGTAAAGAAATATTTGCCTTTGCTAGGAAAATGAAATATATAATCAGAGAAAAGGAAATGAGTATGCAATTGGTTAATTTATTGTCCTATTCAGTTGTGCCTTGCACATAGTAGGTGTGACAGGGCACAATGTATCATGGTTGACTGGTTTCCGTGGGCTTCTATCTTCTGGGTCTTGTGTGACTTTGAACAATGACGTAAGTTTTATAGGCTTGAAAGGAGCCTTTGAAGGTAATTAGAAGGTAATTTTTATCTCTCTACATCAAAATGTTACGGAGACCATTTCAGAAAGGCTGCTAGTCAGCATTCTTACAGATATAAAATATAGTCAAAGAGAGGGTACACAAATTTACCTGGCAACCGTTCTTCAAATTTCCAAGATTGTTTCCAGAAATAGAGAAAATGGATTGCTCAGCGGTCTTTTTGCACAGTGTGAGACTAATATAAAAAGCTCTGTTACATAGCATTAAGAATTAGATTTGCCCTTCTTACTTTATCACAAGTTAATGTAGAAAGGAAGACCTAAAAATATTTGGTAGTTAAAGAATGGAATGGAGAAATCTTAAAGATGGATAGTGAACTTCAAAACAGAGTTATCTCTTCAGGCATGTTCCTTAAGCACAGCTTCCATACATGTTGAGGCTATAGGAGTGGTAATTATAACAGATCTTGATAAGAAATTCTAAACTACAGAAAAAAAAAAAAAGTTTTCATTAATTTTTTCTCAAGTATCCTGAAACGCAGCCAATCCTAGGGTTTGTTTCTACCTAATTTTTAAAAATCTTGTTAATACCTGGTCAGATTTATAATCAAAAAGTAAATTTTCCTAGATCTTCTCTTATTTTCCTGGCTATGGTACTGGATCAATTCTTGCTCCAGAGCATGTGCCCTGAAAACTGTCAGGGCTTTTAGGGGCACTGGCAGGAGGGGACGCTCAGTCGGTTAAGCGTAGGACTTTATTTCAGCTCAAGTCATAATCTGAGGGTCGTGAGATCGGCCCTGAGTTGGGCTCCACACTGGGTGTGGAGCCTACTTAAGAATCTCCCTTCTTCCTTATCCACCCCTACCCCACTCACGCTCTTGCTCACCTTTTCCCAAAAAAAAAAAAAAAAAAAAGTTTTTGATACCCTTAGTTACTCAAATAACATTATCCACCTACTCTTTTCAAAACCAGTTAGATTTAATGCTCCATCATAACCAATAGTGTAAATATACCATAAAGCAATGCTACTTTCAGCTGTGTGTCATTCTCCATTCCTATTATCTACATTAATGCTAAACATTTCTGTTTATAGTTTACTGAAAAACTGTCAAATACTTTTCTTAAAAATGAGAAATGAGGGGTGCCTGGGTGGCTCAGTGGGTTAAGCCTCTGCCTTCGGCTCAGGTCATAATCTCAGGGTCCTGGGATCGAGCCCCACATCGGGTTTTCTGCTCAAGCAGGGAGCCTGCTTTCTCCTCTCTGTCACTGCCTACCTCTCTGCATACTTGTGATCTCTGTCAAATGAATAAATAAAGTCTTTAAAAAAAAATGAGAAATGAATCCCAAGTCCCATAAATGTAATCAAAGGTCCATCTACCATCAAATTAACTGTCTTCACTTTTATTAAGATAAAGTTAGACAAAATGAAGTCAGAAAATTCAAATGTACTCTTCTGTTCCATCATTCTATATTAAGGTTCAGTATGCAGTAAGACAACCCAGTCTAACAAAATAATCTGGGCGCTAGATTTGAATACACGAGGATTTCAATTCAGACTCCTTGTTACTACTAGGTGAATTTAGGTGAGTTATGCAAGCTGTGTGATCCTCAAATTCTTCTGCAAAAAATGGTTACCTACCTCATGGTATTACGTAAGGATATAAAGGGATAATGAAAGAAAAGTGCTGTTATAAAGTATCTGGCATTTAGAATATTCAGTAAGGAATAATGTTATTGAAGAATATTATCATCCTAATGACCTCTGCCCACTTTATACTCTGACTGACTGAAATGGAATCGTTTTGATGGCACACCTTGCTCAGGGTCAGGCATGAGCTAGACATTTTTACAAATGCGGTATCATTGACTATAAATCCTTTTCTTTCACATTCCCATTTAAATTGGTTTTATTACTTAATGTTCTTGTCTTTTTTTTTCTTCCACAGGAAAATGGGCCTTACTATACGTCTTATCCCCCATCACCAGATTTGTGACCTGCCATCTTTTAGTGCTACTGGTTTCCAAGGACATCACTTTCTCCACGAATCGCTACCTATTGAAGTGAAATTCATTTTTGCTGTTCAGATCCAGAGAGCCTTTTGTCCCCACCTCTCTGGTATTTTTTTATTGACTGTATATTTTCTGGCACATAAGCAATCTGACAATGGTAGGCCATTCTGAACTGCACACTTATTTTAAATTTGTATATTTGTATCAAAAGAAAATGTTCATTTTTAGAGGGTTGTTGATAGAAATTGGGGAGCAACTTTTGAGTATCTTCAGTTTCCTGAAAGGACACTGGATTTCCCATTAGACAAGCCACCAGTATTGTTCACGCCGTTTCTTTAACGTTGCACACTTCCTTTGTGTACTTAAGTGTTTCTCAAAATATATAGAACCAGTGTATGCTGACCGTATGCATTGTTTCCTTCAGATCCTGGGATTACATTTCATACAGGTAATTTGGTTATGGTAGAAGAGAACTGTCTGGAATCAAGGATGTGGAAATGCATCTGATCAAAACATTGAAATCATTAGCAAAATATGGGTCTTAGAATCTTACTGCACCAGTGAAGATTAAGATTTTGGATTATATGTTTTGTTAAAATTGCCACTGTTCCAGTCTCAACAGTGGGGGAAAATAAGAAAACTGTATATTCTGCTTTTTTCCTGTGTTCGTGGGTGATTTGGTGTCCTTTTTAAAGGACTGCACTCATTAGTACTCTTACGTGAAAGGCATCTCCTGAACTCCATCACTGAGCCTTTAGAGAGGGTGCTACCTCCCCAGACTTGTGATTTTGTTGGGCTTTACAGCTGCTGCCTCTAAGGACATTTCCTCACAGTGTCTCTAGAGTTGCCTACGTTAAAATGGAGGAAGTGTGTTACAGTGAACAAAATTGCAGACTGCTGTTGCCACTCAGGCTCTATTCGTGCCTTAGCTCGCTTATGAATAAAAATTAGAATTCTGATATGGGCCTTACAGAGGTATCATAAGGCCAGCATGTAGGAAGGGCTTGTGATGTCTTCAGATGCAAAAATGCCAGGGGAGTTTGTGTAGGTGTCACTTCAGTTAGTTTTTAAGTGGTACTAAATGTACTTGAGCGTACTACCAGGCACTCCTCTTGGCCTTGGCACATTTTGAGTGACTTTTCTTGTCTTGGGACAAGAGCTGTTACTAAAAAATCCCAACTCTGAGGACCTCCTTCCTACTTTGTCCAGAATTTCTTCTTGCCTCCTCCTCCCCCAGTGCTACACTTTAACAAGAGGCATCTGTTAGCCATTTTAAACATTTCTTCTTGAATTGAGGTCAAACCAGTATCATTTCCATCTGGGTGTCTTCATATTCTTTTTGATTCCTACCCCCACCCACCCCCATCTCCCTCACTCCATCATGTACATTGGCAGTTCAGAGAAGAAAAAGTAGAACTGTTCTGTTCTAATGTGTTCAGGATCAGTGCTTCCAAAGGTCCCATTCCTCTGTGCCCAAATTAATTCTTACGTGGATAAAAGAAACACTTCTTTTATAACAGAGAAATCCCCCTATAGTTGTATTAGCCCTGTTTCTTGTTTCCCCTACAAATAAGAAGGGGCTTTACATTCCTTCAATAGGCACTCATATCTTTTGCATGAAACAGACACATTTGCTTTGTGTCAGAAATCAAAGCCACTTGCTCCTTATATATGCTTATTGAGTGAAGGTTTCCTGTTACGTTCCCTAGGTCATCAGATCCAGACAGCCAGTCAGATGTCTACTAGTAAGCTTCCTCTCAGACAACACTACTTTCAGTCCCTTAAGCCTTGAGCTTTAAAAATCTGAAAAATTACCTTCATCTTCTCCAGTCTATTGTTAGATCATATTTGAGGTATCTTTGCACTAGGAGCAATTATAAAAATATGCCAACTTTTCCTTTTTGAAAGTGGACTTGGCTATCTCAAATTGGCATTTGGCCTGAATCATTTCCTGTATAGATAATAGAGGCTGCAAGCTACTTTGCCATTTGAAAGGAAGAAAATTGATGTGTAGAATTTCTTATAGGCAATAATTTTGAAAGAATGTCCCTTTGCTATATTCATATGAGTATATTAATGTCTAGTAACACAAGCAGGATTCTATATATAGTGAGATTCTCGTTCAATTGATGTCTTAGGGTATAAAGTTAGTGCGGAACTATATATGTACTTACTGCATTTTATAATTTAATGGTGACTCTAGATAAGGGTTGCATTTCTCAGTGAAACTAAATTTGGTATGGGACCAAATTCATGCTTTCATAGCTATCTAAAGTGTTATGTAATGAAGTTGTTTCAATGTATTAAATCCTACCAAAGGAAGATAGTGACCTTGATAATGAAATGATTATGTAACGTTCCGTATATATCTGCCTTTGTCAAAAGGTTGGGTTGCCTGGAGAACACATGCCATTTTCAGAGACACATTAGAGGATAAAAGGATGACTGGGTGGAGATGAGTACTAGCATCTGATGTTAATTCAAAGCACCACCAACTCCTTAATTTAATTAAACTTTGGTCATGCCAAATGCTAGTTGAACTGAGTAAGAAACAACATACAAAATATTAAGTAAATTCATTAATTCATGCAAGGCATAATAGGATTTTCTTAAAAATAGGATTTTCTTAAACATTTCTTCAGCATATATTTGGATTCTTCTTAACTTACCTATATCCAAGTTTCTTGACAGTGAAAAAAAACTCAAAAAAAAACTGTCTTTATTAGACTCTCTTAAGGCTTAGAGACCAAGTGGTTTAAGATTTTCTTTTCTTTAATACACATCTTATTTTGTTGGCTAGTACCCTATTTTTATTTTCTCAAAGGGATCCAGTTAGTTTGAGACTAAAGAAAAGAGGATTTTTGGAGTATTTTTGATAGGAAAAATGGGTATAGATTTTTTATCATATATCTGAAATCTGGAAGGATTAAAATATCCTGGGTTTCTAGAGAGGAACGTGTGTAACCACTCTAGTAGAAAAACATGGCTTGCCTTTTTTTACCTGTTTTCTTTTTGCTGAGATATCATTCAGTGAATTCAAACTGTGGATAATGGTTTCTTTTCTTTGCAATAGCTAATAGGAAAGTGATAATATAGTTTCAGTATAAGCTAAAAATATCTCTTTGTGTTTCCCTGGATTGTCCGTGTATATATATATAGAGAGAGTTTATATTGATTACTATATGAAATTATTAAAATTTGAAGTACTAGAAAGAGAAAGATTGTATGGTTCTAAGAACAGTGGATTGATTGTATTAAGGGCCCAAAGGACTGCAAAATAGCATATACACTTCTAAAATTGGAGTTAACCAGGAGTGTCAGATTGGCATTCTCTTATTAAGTTACAGTCATCATAGTTACCATGGACTAGAGTGTTTTACCTATACTGGCACTAATATACCTCGCAGTTTATGATTGACTCTTGGTTCAGGATTGCCTGAAACCATGAAAGATTAAAGGAGGACTCTACCTTTGACCTAGGTCATATCAGAAACACAAGAATTGCCTAGTAGACCAAACCGTATCTACATATGCATATATACACACATGTACATATATACCTTCATACGTACATGCATACATGCATACATACATGCACATACACATGATAATCTACTTTGCATTACAGTCTTCAAATGTGGTTTCTATGGCCCACATGTAGCGAACATAGAGCAATAAATAACATAGTTCAAGCTTGGATTCTATCAAAATAGCCCTTAAGTGGATGATATCAAGGTCATTTTATATATTATTGGCTCTCCTGGATATTAGTTGTTAATTTTGTTTTCTTTGCTTCCAGGAACAGTACCTAATCTTTTTAAGTGAAGTAAGCATTAAATGTATAGGGCCACTGAGTTCAAGGAGAAAAACATAGATATTTTCTAGATGAATTACACTAACAAAATCGTAACTACTGGATGTGACCTAATATTTTTGTTGAACAGTTAAAATTAATACATTTTATATACACAGTCATACTTTTTTTTTTTTGCAATGTGTTTTGCTAGTGTAAGCACACAGTCATTGTAAACAGAGCCAGTACTTTGTCAGACTGGTTTTTGTGGGCCAAAATATTTAATTATGAGCTTAATATACGTAAATGATTTTAATTGCTATTGGGCACAGGAGACCTAAAAACGTTTTATTGACATGATCTTAAAATTTGTTTATTCAGAATGCTTTTATGAATATTTTGCATTTAAAAATTTATTTTAGTCTTTCTGAATTAGAAGTTTGATCCCATTTGAAGAGGATCCCGCTCTGTGGGATATATAGCCTATGAAGAACCAGTAGTAAAATAATGTATGTATTGAACCCCAGGATAGGATAGTCTGTTTTGGTCATTTATACCTGGCTTTTCTCTAATCGCTGAGATTAACCTACATAGTAGTACAAAATGCAGTATATTTTACTGCCAGCCTTCTCTATGGGGATCTAGACTAGTGCTTCTCAAACTTTAATGTGCATATATTAAATCAGCTGGCACTATATTAAAATGCAGATTCTGATATAGTAGCTCTGGGGTGGAGCCTGGGATTCTTAGTTTCTAACAAGCTCAGGTGATTATCAATACTCCTAGTCCCAAGACCACAAGTAAAAGAGCTGGACTATATCAGCTTTTGTATCTTCCCTGTTTTGAAGAACGAGACAACTGTCCTAATCCCTTCTGTGGGTCAGGCACTCACTTTCATTAACTCACTTAATCCTACAAATCCTATGAGGTAAGATGGTGATAGAGAGGTTAAATGACCTGCTGACGCCCATGCGCACAAGTAGTACAGTATTAAGCCATGTTTTTCAAACTTAAATAATGCACATCCCCTTTTAATAAAGAAAGGCTCTCTTAGTTCCTCACTTTTTACTCCATTATTTATGTAACCTAAGTATATGTGAACATAAAGCTACATATAATGTTTTATGTTTATAGCTCTTGCACAAGTATAAAACCCAAAGAAGTTTATAGATAGACATGAGCAAAACTATAAAACCAATAAAATTTAAAATAACATTAGTGAAATATGATGGATAATGACATTTCACCGAAACAAAACTGTCAGTTGTAACATGATCGTGTGTGGAGTGCTGTCTCACAGGTTCTTTTGAGTTCTGCGTACATCTGCCAGGTGCTGTGTGTGCCACAAGGTGACTCCGTTCTCCCACTGCGTTTCTCAGTTCAGACTCTTTACTGTCATTGTAGTACACAGCGATGTTATCTGGTCTTCATCTATCTTCACTGCATCATTTCCCCATTTAGTCAGTCTCTGTTCTCCATACGCCTCCTCCAACTAAACCAGAACCTGGCTCTGCTGTGCAGGCAAACACAAATGCACACCTAGGCACTGAAATGTCCTGGCGAAATTTGATCTTAAGGCAGTTATATTAAAAAATCAATAATCAGAACATGAATATTAACTGTTTTTATACATTTTTCATCAGCGTGAAAAATGTCTAATTCTCATAGAAAATTCCTGGATCCCCCACCAAACACACCCACATGCTCACACACTCAAATTCCCTCCGCCTTTCCCACACACACAAGAATTTTTAATGATGGTTAGCATTGATGCTTTGGCTCCTGACACACCTCGGTTCAGGCCTTGGGCATGTTTCTCAGCCTTTTCTGAACCTAAGGGTTTTTGTGTGTTAAACAGGGATAATCTCGTTGAATGTAAGAGAAATAAATGCGGTAAGACTCATAAAGCATGTGTGGCAAGTGTTTATAAAAGGCAGCTACCATTGCTTTGATTAGAGGACTTACCATGTGCCTTCAGCTTTACTAAGCACTTTACATATCTTATATATTGAGTGATAGAATCAGGATTCAAATCCAAGCCTGACTTCAAAGCTCATACTCATAAAAAATAATATAAAACATCAGTGTAAGTTGCTTATTTAAAAAGTTATTTAACATTAAATTGTATTTTCTCAAAAATTCTTAATATAAAATTGATGTTTCTCTGGAGGGAAAATGGCTAAGGTTTTTTTTTTTTATAATTTTATTTTTTATAAACATATATATATATATATTTTTTTTTTCCCCCCAGGGGTACAGGTCTGTGAATCTCCACGTTTACAAACTTCACAGCACTCACCATAGCACATACCCTACCTGGCTAAGGTTTTTTTAAACAGTTGTGTAATATGATAAGAAATTGACAAAGGTAAATGCAATTTTTTTTTAAAGATTGTCTTGCTAGGTTGTGGTCCAGTAAAAGGGTATTAGGCTCATTAGGCTCAACTTGTGCATTACCGTTCTCTTGCACATTTATCATCTGTAACTAATGATAACATGAGATTCTTCCTGAATTCATAGCTTTTTTGCAGGAAAAAATATTCCCCCCCACACCATTATATTCGTTAATAGTTCTGAGAAATAGTCTGCAGACATCTTAATTTTCACCTGTGAAACCTATTTAAAAATTGTTCTTCCTTTAAAATAGCTTTGAATAAGTCCTCTCTTTTCTCAGTTTTCTAAAATAAGTTTTGGAGTTCTGAAAAATGAACAAGCATATTTATAGGCTGGGTTTTTTACTCTTCTGCGTTTTTTTCTAATTGGGTGCTGGGGAAAAAAGTACCAGGAGAGAGTTATAAGAGGAACTCATTTATTAACGGAGATAGTATGTGTATCAAATTCAAATTATTTCCCTACTTACTAAAACATACACTTTCACAAATTATTACGGTAGTAGGGATACATGAAATGTGAGACTGTCACTGAATTTTGTAAGGTCTGTTTTTGAAAATATTTTTCCTTCATGACATCCTATATAGAAGCCTTATAATAATCTGTGTTATGGAAATTATTGTGTTTCTGATCCAGCATCTTTAACCCATCTGTAAGATCTTTAAGTTTAGTGAATGCATGGCTCTCCATACATGTAGGTTATCAAGAAAGAAGATATGTCCTGTATGATACCTCACTGCCTCATCCTGTAGCACAGCATAAGAAAATTGTTCTGGCTTCACATTACAGATAAGGCCTAGTTCTGCCTGATTTTCTCCATTTTAGCAATCTGTTACTTGATTTGGGTTGTGAGCCCTGCTTCTCTTATTAAATACAAATAAGACCATTTTATTACAACTTTGGATGGAATGGCCTCCCATCTTTTGCTTCTTTAAAATCCAAAGTTATTTTTTATAAGGAGGTATACTAAGCATTTGACTATTTCATCATGTCTTCTAGTTTAGATATGTCTGACATACTCATTTTGAAATGGTTATTGTAAATTCTAACACCGATTTTTTTAAAAACATTGTAGGTGGGTTGTTATATAGAATTTTATTTCTAATAGTAAAGTAGGTATTAAAACTTATCACAAAGGATGGCTTTGGTTTTCAAATAGATGAGGAATTAGAGGCCCAGGCAGGTTAAGGCCAGTTGGACTCCTAGCCAGTAGATTGTAGGCAGTTTCAGGATGACCTTTTTGCCATCTATAGCTAGAGCTCTGTGGTTTAACTGTGTTTGCACAGCTGCTTGGCTTTGACATTCCCTCTTGTGTCCTTTGAAGAAGTTTTCTTTTTTTTTCCAAAGATTTTATTCATTCGACAGAGAGAGAAATCACAAGCAGGCAGAGAGGCAGAGAGAGAGAGAGGAGGAAGCAAGCCCCCCGCAGAGCAGAGATCTCGATGCGAGGCTCGATCCCAGGACCCTGGGACCATGACCCGAGCCGAAAGCAGAGGCCTTAACCCACTGAACCACCCAGGCGCCCCAGAAGTTTTCTTTTTTTTTAATTTATTACTTATCATTTTTTTTTTTTTTATCTAAGTTGCACTTGCTCAGCCAAGTTCCAGGGAGGACCAGAGTTCAAGAGTTAGCCGCAGAGGTTATCAATCAACTTAAAGTGTGGTAAGTGAAGCCCAGACATGCTGCACAGTTGTTTTCTTTGTAGAGCACTTAGTACAAGACCAGAACTATGAGATGCTAACATTTCCTTGTTGAATCCATCCTGTTGCTATGGAAAATGCTGTCCTAGAAAATTCAATTTGGAGCCTCACATAACCCCCATGGAAATTACACAGGAAGAGAGGAAAAGGCAAGAGGACCATTTTTTTTAGTTCACAGTAGTGGAATGCATTGCACAGGGTGAGACCACTCTGCATCTAGGATTTTTCATTTGTTCTGTTTTTATATTTATAATTTATTGTGACATGTACCTAAATCAAATTGTAATATAATACCATCCTATATTATATTTTTTGGATATAAAAGCTCTCATGACTGTGCCTATTTCTATCCTACTTTTGTGGGGTTGATCCTTTTTTGGTATGTTCATCTTTTAGTTTTCTCTTTATTTTTCTTAGCAGCTTTGTTTGAAAAGAAACTCACATATCATAAAATTTACCCACTTAAAGTGTATAAGTCAGTGGTTTTTAGTATGCTCAGCATTGTACAACCATCACCACTATTTACTTTTACATTTTTAACACCCTAAATGGAAGCCCCATACCCATTACCAGTTGTTCCCCATTCCCACTGTCCTCCAACCTCCCTCCTGTGTTGTTTGGGCTTTGCTGCAGTAGGTCCTCTTTCTAAGGCACTTCTCCAAGTTGTACTTATTAGGAGAACAGTGTCTCAATAAATATTTGTTGAATTAATTGATACCCACATAAGTCACTGGCCATGGGTAGCAACTAAGGAGTAATTGAAAGGGCCGTGGAATAGATGGCCAAAGACTAGATTCAAATCCTGACTGATGCTTACTTACTAGCAGTGTTGTTCTGGGAATGGAGTCACTTAGCCCTTCTAAGCTTCAGTTTTCATATCTATAAAGTGTTGCTAGCAGTATCTGCTTCACTGGAGGGTTGTGAGAATCACGTGAGAAAGTATAGTCACAACACTTGGCACAGTGCCTGGCCCACACGAAGAAAGGAATTGCTATTTGTTCCTGGGCGACAGAGAAACCCCTAGGTTGGTGACCAGGTGAGATACCTGTGGCCACATTTCTCTAATGTCTAATCTGGCCACAAGGGTTTCCCCTGGTCACCAGTGTCGGGGTTCAGAGTAGTGGTGTAGCCCCTTCCTATGGCTCAATCTTCCCAATTTCCTTCCTCACAGAAGAGAATTCTGGAGTGTAACTTACAACTGCTTATTCTCCTTTAACCTCTTAGCCGCTGTCTCCCATCTTTCCTCTCCAGCATGAGAGCTGGTTCCTCTCCAAATGCTGATGTTGATTCTCATATCAGGCCCAGACTTTGGACAGAAGCGAGCACTGTCCACTGGCTGTCAAGTACTGACCCCTCATCCCAACTTCAGCAGCCTTTATTGCGCCTTTCCTTCACCACAGGTGCAGAAACCCTCTCCAGGAGAAAAAGCTGCCTAGTTTAGGCAACTGGCAGCCTGGGACTGCTTGCTGGGCCTTTCAGGGACAAGGGAACATATTTAACAATCTTCTGTCATAGCTACCACCTCCCCCTTCTTCCAGAGTTGCCTTAACAGATTGGCTACCCACGCATCTTACAAAAACGTTTCCTAGCACAATAGTAATGAAATAGTAGCAGCTATCATTGATAGGATACCAGGCATTGTAAATATATTATCTCTAATTCTTACAGTAAACTTACAAGCTAGGCATTTTCCCCATTTTTCGGAAGAGAAAGAAGAAACTAACCACAACGGGGGCACTGGGTGGCTCAGTTGGTTAAAGCCTCTGCCTTCAGCTCAGGTCATGATCCCAGGGTCCTGGGATTGAGCCCCGCATCGGGCTCTCTGCTCAGGGCGGAGCCTGCTTCCTCCTCTCTCTCTGCCTGGCTCTCTGCCTACTTGTGATCTCTGTCAAATAAATAAATAAAATATTAAAAAAAAAAAAAAGAAACTAACCACAAGGTAATTTTAGAGAGTAGATTTTGGAAAGGCAGAGAAGATTGGGTAGATCTACCTATATGGAGTTTCTTACTTCTGCTCTTAGGCTATCCTTTATATGGCTTTCGTCTGATATATAGAAGCATAGGTTTCGATTCAAATCCCAGCTCAGCCATTTACTAGCTATGTGACCTGGACATGGTTCCCAACCTTTTTGAATTTCAGCTCTCATATATAAAGAGCACTTACCTCTTGGAATTACTGTGAGGATCAAATGCCTTCATACTTCTGAAAGTTTCATAAATACTAGCTATTGTCTTCTTTAAATATTCTAATTGCGGTGATCAAAGTGTCTCACTTTCCAGACTTCTCAGTTACACTTGGCTCTTTAATTTTAAATTATGTCACATCCCCAATCCAGAAGTTGTATGATATATTTGGTATGTCTTCAAGAGAAAATGACATTTTAAAGCAGGGCTGGCAAACTTTTTTGGCAAAGGGCCAGATCATAAATATTTTAGCCTTTTCAGTCCATATGGTTTCTGTCACAACCATTCAGCTCTGCTGCTGTAGCATGAAAGCCGCTATAGACAACACTTGAGCAAATGGGTGTGCCTGTGTTCCAATAAGACTTTATTTATGGAGACTGGAATTTAAAGTTGAAATGATTTTTCAAGTATAACAAAACGCTATTTCTCTTTGTTTTCAACCGTTTAAAACTATAAAAAGCTACACTTAGCTTGAGGGCCATATAAAAACAGGCAGTCGGCCATAGTTTGTCAAACCGTGTTTTAAATAAATAATTCAATGGTTCTTTAAAGCTGATGAATCTGGCAGAGGCCTAATTAAGGGAAAGAATGTGGAGAAGGAAAATCAAGAGCCAGTCAGCCTATCAGCTAGCAAGCCCAGATCATAGCTATGTTAATCACTCCCTTGGCTAACATGATGCATGTAACCCCTTTACACTTACACTTCTTATCTATAAAAATGGAGTAGTGATAGCTCTCTGACCTATACCTACTTCCTCCTGGTGATGGGAGTTTAATAATAGTTACTATATATTGAATTTATGCCTTTGTGCTAGATAGCTGCATCGTTTTTGTTCTTACCCCCTTATTCCTACTTTATAGATGAAGAAATGAAGTCTCAGAGAGGCAAATAATCTGCTTATACAATACCAGTAGCTAAACCCTGGTGTCTGATTCCCATAAACCTTCCCAAACCTCTCAATAGAATACAGATTCCTTGAGAATAGGGACCTCTCTGGACTCTCTCTATGCTATATCCCCAGTGCCTAGACTAGTACCTGGTGTATAATAGGCAATGCATAAATGTTTGTGGAATGAATGAATGAATTTTTCCATTATGCCAGTGGTTCTTACTTTTTTTCATAGGTCAGAGACACCTCTGAGAAATAATTTAAAGATCTGCATCATCTCTCCAGAAAAATCTCAAACTGAGAAACCCCTGTTAAGTTTTTGGCAAACTACTGAAAGAAGATGCTACGCACATGCTCTGAACAATATAATTCTTCTCATAAGCTTGAAAACAGGATCTGGAGATATCTTCTTTCCTTTTCCTGAAATCATGATATTAAGGACACTAAACAAGACCTAAAAGTTTTCTTCTCTCTAGGCACTCATAGCTCCCAGACATACTTCTCAAAACTCTTAATTCCCTTACAAGTCACTTTCTTAAAAATTATTACTTAAAAATGACTTTTATTGGACCCAGGGACTTCAATATGAAAAGTGAGAAACCACAGC